GGCACAGTTTCTTGTATGATGAAGAGATTGGGAGGATGGATTGGTTATATATAGATAGATTATATTAGCTTATATTTGAGCATTTTTTTTTATGAGTTAAAGCATGTTTATAATAGATTAGTTTATAATGGGTAGTTTTATATAGACTTGGGAAGATGAATGTTTAATCCTGTAATCAGTTCTGGGAAGTCTGGGGGGGGTTAGGTGGGGATGGGGGTGGGAGGAGTATAGAAATAGAGTTACTAGTATTGACTTAAGGGGAAGTAGGATATATTAAAATAATAATAGATTAGTTATATGTATAACTGAGTTAATTATATTGAAATAATTTGAATTGTATAAATATGATTTTGTTTTGATTAATTGATGGCCTTGCTACCATGTAAAATAAAACCAATAAAAATTTTGTTGAAAAAAAAAACAAAAACAGTGGGTCCATCCATATGGGCAGACAGTCATGGGATGGCAGACACTCAATTCTTTTTATCAGCAGCCGCACGAAAAAGTGCTGCTGAGTTTTGTCCAAACCAATCCCTTAGATTTTGAAGCCACAATGTTCTTCTTCTGCCTGGACCTCATTTGCCTTCAATCTTTCCCAGGAGGATTAAATTGAGTATGCCATATTTTTCTGGGTGTCGCATCACATGTCTGAAATATTCTAATTTTCGTTTTTTAATTGTTTTGATGATTTCCCTTGGCTTTCCCAGGCGGCTTATCACCTCCTCATTTCTGATCTTGTCAACCCAGCTTATACATAACAGCCACCTGTAAATCCACATTTCAAATGCTTCTAGTCTCTTCAGGTGGCCTTCTGTCAGAGACCAACTCTTTACTCCATAGAGCAGGATAGAAAAAATATAGCATCTGACAAGCCTGATTTTCAGTCTTAGGCTTATGTTGTGACTGCCGAAGACCTTTTTCATTTTGAAGAATGCTGTACGGGCTTTTTCTGTCCTTGTCTTTACTTCAACGGTTATGTCCCAGCTTTCATGTAAATTGGAACCGAGGTGTGTGATCCTTTCAACTTTTTCTAGTGGTATTCCTTCTGAATTTATTGGTGGTAAATTAACAGGTTGTTTGCTGATGACCATGATCTTGGTTTTTGAGGTGTTAAGCTTCAAGCTGTATTTTTCAGATATTTCTGTGACTCTGTTGATGAGGAGCTGAAGGTCTTCATGCTTACTGGCAAGCAGAACTGTATTGTCAGCATATCTTAAGTTGTTGATCCAAACACCATTTACTTTGATGCCAGGGTCGATGTTCTCCAGTGCCTCGTTGAAGATTGACTCAGAGTAGATATTGAACAACAGTGGAGAATCATTTAAATATGAGCCAGCAGTGTGCTGCAGCTGCCAAAAAACCAACACAGCACCAGGCTGCATTAACAGAGGGATAGTATCAAGATCACGTGAAATGTTAATAACACTTTATAACGCCTTGGTAAGGCCACACTTGGAATACTGCATCCAGTTTTGGTCACCATGATGTAAAAAAGATGTTAAGACTCTAGAAAGAGTACAGAGAAGAGTAACAAAGATGATTAGGGGACTGGAGGCTAAAACATATAAAGAATGGTTGCTGGAATTGGGTATGTCTAGTTTAATGAAGAGAAGGACTAGGGGTGACATGATAGCAGTGTTCCAATATCTCAGGGGTTGCCACAAAGAAGAGGGAGTCAAGCTATTCTCCAAAGCGCCTGAAGGCAGGACAAGAAGCAACGGATGGAAACTAACCAAAGAGAGAAGCAACCTAGAACTAAGGAGAAATTTCCTGACAGTTAGAACAATTAATCAGTGGAACAACCTGCCTCCAGAAGTTGTGAATGCTCCAACACTGGAATTTTTAAGAAGAGATTTGTCTGAAATGGTATAGGGTTTCCTGCCCAAGCAGGCGGTTGGACTAGAAGATTTCACTTCCAACTCTATTATTATTATTGCAATCCTAGTACCTTGCAAGAGACCCACTATCTTGCAAAATTTTGACATTCACTATGGATACTGTTGTTCCACTCTTTCCTCTTTGGAGCACTGGTTTTTATGAAAGTTGGTAGCAGGAATAATATGATAGTAAACAATCTTTCCACCTCAAGTCCTCTTGAACTACTTGTTCAAGGCAATCATTACTCATGACATGCTAACTCAAGTTCATTCTTTCTTGTTTATATGGTATATGTGCATGTACCGTATTATCCTATACTTTTAAAGTCAGTAATAGGGAGATTTTGATAATTACATTTTAAATGTAATAAATTCATTGACTGCTGAAACAGTTACACATTTTCTAACACCAATGAGATAGCCAGAAAACTGCTACAGCTCAGAGTAGACTTGTATCATCTACTCTGACTACCAACCAATTTCCAGGTTCAAGGCTTTTCCATTGGTGGCTACCTGATCCTTTAAATCTGGGATGTTTTATATCCAGACCATGAATTCTGCCATCCAAACAGAATAAGATTCTTTCCCCAAAGTCCA